GAAAATGTAATTAAAAAAAAGAAAGGCCATATTATCGCATAGATAATATCACAATAAGATTTCCCATAGTAATAATTTGGGCATGTGGTGTAACATAAAACCCGTGGTGTATTGATGCAAAAATATTATATAAAAAGAATAATTTCTTAACCCATATAATTCCTATTTTAAATACTTAAAAAGTTATTATGATAATATGTTTAAAATTACCTACATACTTAGTATTTTTTTTATTTTATCTAAAGAAATAAATGTATATATAAATATGACAGATTTGTTAATTTAATCTTTAATTAAAAAATTATATTGTATGCTTAATAAAATAAAACATCGATTGCATCATAATGTTACAGTATATAGTTATTAGATAAATATAGAAAACCAAAATTATACATATAATTAAAGATACTTACCCAACTACAATAGTTGGGTAGCCATTATAATTAAAGATACTTAACATATCAAATAATGAAATAGTTAATATTTGAGTATAATATATAAGGAAGAAACATAATGATTATTTTGGAAGGAAAAAGTATTATTTTTGTAAGAAAGGAATGAAAATATTATACTTTGTATTACGTATTTTAAATCTTTTCTAAGAAGATTTTTTGACAAAAAATCCAAAAATCAAAAAAATAAAATAAAAATAAAAAGTTTTGGCGGGAAAATTTTAACGAAAAGTTGACACGTATCATCTTTGGTTTCGCCTTTAGTATATAGTTAAGGCTTGTTCTGCTGAACTGAACTGAATGAGCTGAACTGAACTAAACTGAATATTTTATAAGAGAAGGAAATTAAGAGCTGAACTGAACTAAACTGAACTGAATTTCAACGTATGAGAACAGACCATAAGTTCAGTTCAGCTCAGTTCAGTTCGATTCAGTTCAGTTCAGCTCCTAATTTCCTTCTCTAATAAAATATTCATTTCAGTTCAGTTCAGTTGAAATCAGTTCAGTTTAGTTCAGTTCAGCTCGGCTCAGTTCAGTTCAGCTCAGCTCAGTTCAGTTCAGCTCAGCTCAGTCCAGGCAATGAGAATAAGCCCTTATAGAAGATAGATGATTCCTAAACTTTGCTAACTTGGTTGATTTTCGAGTTTATAGTGTATGTGGATTTTGTCGTCTTTCTGAATTTCGACCAAAAAATATTGTGACATCCCCCTCCTTACCAATCTGCATGTTTACTTGCATTGACATGCGAATAAATTTCACATATTTCTTTGATCCTCTTTTTCAAGGTTTGAACTTTCTTATGCAAAATCTTTCTGAATTTCTTTTGTATTGAAGCTATCTTTCATCACCATCTTCGTCATCACTAGCCTTTTCCATTTGCCTCGTACTATGCTTGAGTTTTTTATTTATTTTTTGATCAATTACTTAGTGACACATGTCACTTAAATAAATAAATTCACCCAATGTATATATTACCGGTAATAAGAGACCAATAGATGTAGATGCCCTATAAAAGTGGGATTATTAAGTAAGGTAAGATTATTACTAACAACCCGAGTAAAAATTGGATTATTAGAATCAAATTTTCAAGGAAAAAGGCTTTATAAATTTTCCAGCATGACCCTTAAGGATTCGTAACATTACAGGCCTAGCTCTTTACGGAACCCTAAATTCGCTGTGGAGGTTGGTCGGGGCAGCGAGAACGGGAGGGGGTGGGTTCGTTGGCTGCGTAGGGGTAGGGGAAAGGGAGGAGGTGGATTCGCGCCGGCGCCGGCCACCGGGGAAAGGGAAGGGGTTACCTAAAAACCACCACGAATTACCATCAACGGTGACTGCCCAGCACTGGCAGCGCTGAACTGCTGCCCACACGAACTGCTGGACGAGCCAGCACGCTGCTGAATAGGGGAGTCCACAGCTGGGCTGCGGTTTGGGGCAATCTGCCGCAGCCTGGCTGCGGTACTCTCTGCTTGAGACTGTTGCTGACGGAGCTGGGCGCTGCTAACGGGAGGGGCTGGGCTTGGTGGCTGTTTTTATTTTTATTTTATTTTATTTTTTTGGTGGCTGAAGGGGAGGCATTTAGGGTGGCTAAGGAGGGAGTGGTGGCCGGAAGGTGGTAATGAGGGTAGCTGGATCTCACTAATGGAATTATTAACGGATTCCGTTATCTGGTAGCGAAATTTAAAATACAGGATTTGATAGGTAGTAAAATAAAATAAAAGTTTTGAAAGCGAAATTTAATAACGAAATTCCGTTATCCCTACAATTATTCTTGGGGAACAATCACAAGATTCTTTGGTTATTGTGCCTAATCCTACCCCCTTAAATTTTGGGAAGAGCAGCCAGGAAAACCGATTTGGAGGGAAACAAAATAATAAGAAAAAAAACACTCCAAAAGCAAATAAAATTCCTACAAAAAATACTCAGCCACTTGTACCTAGTACGAGCTTGAACATGCAAAAAGAAGAAACTCAAAAGTCCTTTACAAAAGATAACCCTGGGAAAGAGAACGTACAATTTTATAAGCCATAAACTGTAATTCAGAAGAAATCAGAGGAGATTCTTGAAGTCCTAGCAAATATTTCGAACAATGAGTCACAGAAGGAACTCACCCATGTTTCCCCCACCATCGGATGTAGTCCAACTTATGATCCCGACGGAAAAAAATTCTTTGCGTGGGACAACCAATGGAGATACCATATTTGGGCATAGCCGACCCCCTGAGGAATGTATTGGAAGTGAGGATCGAATCATGGATGGAATTGATGGTCACTTTGAGGATCCCCGGCCCAATGAAGTTAATCGCCTAATGCAAATTCTTTCCGAAGCTTATGTAAGTTCTTTACCTTCTGTTCCTGTTTTAATGGAAGATACTATACCAAACTTAGCTCCGAATTCTTTGCCAATTTCTTGCATGGTATGGAACGTGCAAGGGGCTAGAAGTAATGCTTTTATTAGCTCTCTTCAAGAAGTTGTTAAAAACCATAAACCTAATGTGTTAGCTCTAGTTGAAACTCATATGGGGGGACACCAAGCTGAGCGTATCTCGAACATTCTAGGGTATGTACATGGGTCACACTAGGGTGGATGCTCAAGGTTTTAGTGGAGGGATTTAGGTATACTAGAAACCCGAACTTGTCACTGTTGAACCAATTATGCAGCATAATCAATTAATTACTATGAATATTAGGCGTGTAGGAGGCGATCCTTGGTATTTTACGGCCATGTATGCAAGCCCTGATTCTGTGAATAGGAGTGATTTGTGGCGTGAGTTGGGTGATTTTTCTAAAACTCATAATAAGCCTTGATTAATTGCCAGTGATTTTAATGATACACGCTTTTCCCATGAGTGTAGCACTTCCTGTCCCGAAACATCTAGGCGAGCAGCACTGTTTCAATGAGTGGGTTGAAGACATGGATTTGCTTGAAGTTGAGTTTAGTCCGTCGGGATCATATGTTGGTAAGGAGGGAAGGGACTCATGGCTATTAAAATAGACTTTAAGAAAGTTATGATCGATTACGATGGGACTTCATTTGTGACACTCTATATGAGATTCGATTTCCCCCCCCCCCCCTCTCCTTATTATCGATCTTATTATGGAATGTGTTACTACTTCCTCTATGCGAGTTCTATGGAATGGTGAGCCCACTCAAACGTTCAAACCGGGTCGTGGTATTAGGCAAGGTGATCCGCTCTCTCCATATATTTTTGTCTTATATATGTATGGAAAGGTTGAATCAATTAATTGAAGAGTCTATCATTGCCAATCTTTGGAAGCCGATTTATGCTAGTAGGAATGGTCCTAAACTCTCACTAGTAGAAAAAATGCTATTTGTAACTAGCGAAATTGACTTTTTGTAACTGGCATTGTTGGTTGCGAATGCCACCGTTACAATTAGTGAAAATTATTCGTAACCGGCTAATGTTAGTTACAAATAATGTACTATTCGTAACTGGCTTAACCTAGCGCCAGTTACAAATAGTCTATTTTCCAACTTAGAAAACATACTATTTGTAACAGGCATTAAGTTATGCCGGTTACAAATAGAGTATTACTTGTAACTGGCATAGCCTAACGCCGGTTACGAATAGTGTTTTATTTATATAAAAAAAAATTATATATATATATAATGGAAGCAGTAGCGAATTCCTCTACAATAATTATCAATCGTTATATGGCCAAATTTAAGTGACATCGACATATACATTATCAACTCTACAATAATACTGAATTGATTTACAAACATGTCTCTCACAATTCACAATTCCTTTTCATCCTAAGCCATTATCCTTGCATAATATACCTGCAAAATACAATCAATTTATAGAATTTCAAATACATTCAATGGGTTACTGTCAATTTCAAATAAACAATCAAACACTTACCTCCTCAATTACTATTTTCATTTCCTTTTGTTTTAATTTTTCTATTTAGAATTTATTAGACTATTAGGTTTCAAGATCGAAGTCAATATCTTTTTACCGTACAATCACTAAATCAAAGTCGCTCAACTAAAGTTTTGGACATTGCATAGCTACACAACATCCAACACATTTAATGATTACATGCAAATAATTTTAATAAAACTACGCATTCGATATAAGTTATTAAACAATTTAACTATATATACATTTTGATAGGTTTATATCTTTCATATTAACAAAAATTTACAAATGTTATTATTATATTTTGAAAAAAAAATTAGACTTTGGAGTTTTGTATAAGATAGATTAAGGATAAGTTAATTCCCGTCATATATGCATTGAGTTTTGGGTGTTCTATCCGGTTCACCCTTTGGGCTAATCCAGATTTGAGGATCTGTTCTAGGCTATTAGGTTCCACTCCCCTTCCAATTGTTGTTGCAGGGGAGCGAACACAGGTCCTCCCTACCAAGTGTAGTCTCAATCACCACTACACCAACAACCAAACACTTGATATGGAAGACACGTGTTATAAAATATTATATTATATACATATACTTTTTTATATTATATAAAATATTATAGGGAAATTCTCACCGGTGAACTCCAATTAATTAATTTTACAAGTGGTAAATATTCTTAAAATTTATTATCAATGGTAAACCCCAAATAGAATGACTAATCAATTGGTAACCTTAATAATGATTTAATCTAATTATTTAACTATGGTTAACATTTAAAATTACCCAATGTATAGGTTACCGGTCATAAGATATTAATAGAAGAAGATGCCTTATAAAGGTAGGATTATTAAATAATAGGTCAAAGGTAAGATTATTAATAACTGAGCAAATATTGGATTATTAGAATTAAATTTTGAAGGAAAAAGTATTCCCCAAGCTATAGATTCCTACGTGAATTAGGTTGCTTAGCCTTGTATATATATTCTGATAACCCCCTCAAAAAAAAAAAAAATATATTCTGATAAAGAGATCAGTGAGAAGTTGAGACCTTGAGGTTTATTTTACAATATCTGATCCGTTTATTATACGATCTCTGAAACTCTAATCCATTGAACAGCAGTGTTTTGATATTCCTATCTCTATCCTCCATTGAAGCTGCTTTTTGTGGTAAGCTCTGTTTTCCTTTTGTAATCATCAAATATCAATTTTTTTTGATGGGTAATTCCCATTCAAAGTGTTATTTTTAAACAAGGGTTAGGGTTATTTATTGATTGATTGTTCATCTTCTCTATATACTAACTCTGGTAATTGGACACTTCAATGTATGGTAATTGGACACTTTCTTTTTTTTTCCAGATAACGAAACGGACGAAGCTTTCAAAATTCTTGCCTTTCGCAGCAAAAAAGTTGAACATAATTTTTACTGACAATTTCCTATCAATATTCTACAATGAATTTATGCTTCCTAAAGCTTGCTAACTTGGTTAATTTTCGAGTTTATAATGTATGTGCATCTCATCTTTCTGAATTTCGACCAAAAAATATTGTGACATCCCCCTCCTTACCAATCTGCATGCTTACTTGCATAGGCATGCGATTAACTTTGTTAATTTTCAAGGTTTGACGTTTCTTATGCAAAATATTTCTGAATGTCTTTTGTATAGAAGCTATCTTTCATCATCATTAGCCTTTTCCATCTGCCTTGTACTATGCTTGTGTTTTTTTATTCTGAACTAGTACTATTCCCTTGAGGATGAATCTGGAATAAGCACAAGAAAAAAGGATTAATGAATAAGAGTTTAAGAACAAGAAATCTTATTAAAAGTACAGGATAGAGTAAAAAAACAAAGCAGCACTCTTAGTTCTCACCTGAGGATTATCAAAGCTCATAGCTCTGATCTTGAACTCCCCTCGACTAGTCGTCAACTCATCTAGTATCTCAGAATCATCTCCCTCATCATCATGACGAGTTTCTCCTTCCTGATTACAGACGTCAAAATAAGCCAAAGGTCACCAAGATATGCTTAAAGTATGCAAGAATTATGTAAGTATGTATGACAAAGTTGACAGCATTTACTTACCCTGAAAGACTTGCTATGAGAGCGTCTAGGTGCACCAGCAATCTCCTCATAGCCAGCCGCATCCAGTTCTTGAAGATGAAAGGGGTGAAAAAACTTCGGGAGGATATGTTGGCGTATGCTTATGAGAATGAAAAAAGGCAAGGGGAAGAGTATCCCTGCTATCGGTATCCAAGTAACTCCAAAGCATATCAACAAGTACACGATTTGGAATACTGTGAAAGCAGCAATGGATTTGAAAGGTACTGATTCCACATATGATGCATGAGCTTCTTCCAGAACCCTGCATTCAATGGGATGGATAACAATAGGCTTAATCAGATTGGCAAGCATACCAGGTATTAAGGTTGTAAGCATCACAATCAGCATGATAAAAATTTATTTGGCATCAGTTTAAGTTTTTATATTGTGGTTTTCAAGAGCCAAAATGTTCATATGTAGGTTTCTGAAAACAAGGCCTTAAACTGGAAAACCACAAGTGGTTTCTGAAACCCTGTTCTATTTTTAAGTAACCTCAAAACTGATGAATTGTGAAGATACAAAACAAGCAATTACTCTAGTTTTTAGGTAGTTGGAAAACTTACTTGTATCGTCTTGCTGGTCTAATGAAGAGGAGGAGGATTCTCTCCCAGAACTGGCTTCCCGGGAGACTGTCAATGGCCATATATGCAAAGTATCCCCATAGGACAGAGGTGGGTATTAGCTTGATCACCGGCATAGCAAACATAGCACATGCTACAAGGACTGATTGTAAGATGTTGCTCACTCTTTGCTCGTTGACTCTTACAGGTAAATAGTAGTCAATGTGTTCAAGTTTAAAAGCTTTGTGTTCCTTTCCGTCTTTGCTATCTCCATTCATAACTGCCTGCTTCAAATCTTCCAACTCCTTCACAACTTCATGTGGCTGAAAAATAAGAATTAACATGGTCCTATTCATGTACTACACTCAACAGAGCTTATTTTCAATTAATGAGTTTCTATAATGTATGAGCAAGTATGTTGAGAACTTCATACATTGGGATTCTGATCCATTTCGATGAAAACATCCTGCATCTGACCATATACTTCAGTGCTGCTAGCATTTTTCTGTATGCTTTCCTTTGCAGATTTTACCATTTTTCTACCCATCAACTGTCATCAGACACAATCACATGATAAATACAAGTTGCTGAATCATGTAATTGCTAACAATACGATAAATCACTGTAAAATTCCACACTCTCACTGTCTCACAAGTCTCACCTGCCTTTTGAGGACAGCAAGGCTCTTTGTATGCATAGGAGATTGAGGAAGAACTCCATTTGATGGAGGTAATCCGAGTAGTCCACAAAGCAAAGTCTGGAATAACAAAAATATAGTTTAGACACGAATATTGGTCACCTCAATATTTCAATGTAATGGAAAGGTTGTATGTAATTACAGATTACATTTCTTGGTTAACATACCGTAAATCCAAGCACCAAAATGTCATAGTGGTAGGCAGAAGGTTTTTTCAGATTAAATTCCTTTTGCTGAGCTAGTTGTGAAGCGACACTATGGTCGAAAAAGTACAGTCCTGCAACCATCAGAGCAGGAATGATGGCAGCAAAGATGTAAGCTATTGGCACCCTAACCAAATCCTGCATTTAAGTTTATTAAAATCCATTTAGATAAGTGGTAGAAGGAAACAATTCCAAGTAAATTGAAACAAAGATGTTCAATATAAGTAGCCAGTTAGGATTATTTGATACATATAAACATATAATGCTGTGTATATATATTTGTCACGTATTGTGATACAAATACAAAACACTTCTGTCAGAAATCCAACAATTCCAACTCCCATGGTACACAGACTTAGAAATCCAACAAATAACAGCAAAAGTTTAGTGATTGCATATTGAATGATTACCTTTACTACACTCCAATGGTACACAGACTTGGACTGCCAAGGCAGAGGACTATAGAGCCTTCTAGGTACACCCTTTGGAACTCCAGAAGGAACGCTGAACGACAAGGCAGTCCAAAGCACAACCATCAATGGAACTCCATAATCTGCAATGAAGCTCCTCATACGACCGGTACCATAGCGCCATGACCTTGCTCTACGGCTCTTTAAGGCCATTACAAAAACACCAACAGTAAATATTATTCCAAGCAATCCATTGGCATATCGCCACTGAAATAGATACTTCTCTTGGTGTGGATCCTCATCTTTGGGAATATGAAATTCACTTACAACTCCCTACAATAATTATAAGAAATTTTAAGCAGAATTTACATATTTCAGGGTACTAATGCAGAATTTTTCAGCAACAAACAAGATTAGCAAGTTGTTAAGAGTACTTTGATAGCTTCTTGGAAGAAAAGAACTGTAATCAACATCCCAAAGAGCTCCCCAGCAACCCTTGTAAACCGTTTAATGATCGTGGCAACATTGAATATCGAAAGAAAGATCAACATGAGGGCAGTCCACACACAAACCCTGACATACAGCAACATAAAAATTTCAGCAACTACATATCAAATTCATCATGCTTTTCTAGGCATAATTGATATATGTCAATCATATACATACCATCCAGCCCAAGCAAGGTAAAGTTCCTTTCCCAAACCTGACCGCCCTTTCGCAAAGTTATAAAGATAAGAGTACATGATCACAGTTGGTTCTGCAACCCCAACTATCAAAAGAGGCTGCCCACCAATTATTGAGTGAATTATCCCACATATTGCTGTTGATGCTAATGTTTCAACTGTGCTCAAACTTCCATCTACAAATAGCAGGAAAAACACATGAGGTACATTTGACCAGTATTGTTAATACATTTTCTGTATTTTAAAGTGTCGAGTATCAGACACGGGTACTTGGGTAAGATCGCTCACCTGTATCTCTGCTGAGTTGCTCCCCAAAAGCTATTACAGGAAGAGCAGAAGCAAAGAAAATATAGGTAGTTGGTGCCAATATCCTATACCCTCACCCAAAAAAAAAACAGAACAAAAACTCTTAAAACAATTTACTAAAAATCTGAAGTGAAACTGCAATTTTTCATGTATATAGATTGAATCTGAATGAAAATAAACATGAAACAACCCAAAATTACCCGAAACCGGATCGAATTCCACCACTCCAATCTTGCTTGTAACATGCCCATCTTCCACTGAAATCATTTACAATCCCATAAAATGGCTGCTTCATTATACCAATTCCAATATCAAATATTCCCTAAAAAACAAAATTCACACCGTTAATATTCAACATTTATTTTCCTTATTTTAACAAAATTACTACAATTAAGCTACTAAGTATGTGTATTTCATCTCATATATTTATTATTCCCAGTAATATTATTCAAATTTAAGTGAAATAAAAAAAATAAAAATAAAAATTTGTAACCACCCAAAATTCAACAATGTAACTGGAATTGCTTAGTTAATCGTCTAACCTATCAACATTGAAGGTAAAAATCAAGGGTTGCAGAAATTAAACCCCAAAAACGGTAATAATTTTTTTTTTTTTCTTTAACAAAAAAGTAACATTTTCCAAGAAAAAAAAATTCAGTGAAAATCAAATACGCGTTTTTTCTATATTCTTCAAGATACTAAAAACAAATTTACTACTAAAAACAAAAATCAATAAGAAAATTTGACACAAACAGAAGGAAAAAAAAAAATTAAAGAAAAAACAGAATTAAAGAAAAAAGAGGATACCCATAAATTTTCCGAAGAAAAAGCTACTAAAATTTGACCTAAAAAAACAGGTTACAAAATATTAAACTACTAACAATAATGTAAATAAAAGAAATAAAATGACATTTAATAAAATCATGATGAAATCTTTATTATTCTAGTCATGCTAGCTGTAAAATATTTACTCCTAAAAGTAATAAAAATGACTAAAAAGAAAATAATAATAATAATAATAAATGAATGCGAACAATGTGATGAGGAGAGAGATAGAGAAATTTACGACGTAGTGTTTCGCCGGGAAAAAGTGTCGGACGACGGTTAATGTGGTGGAAAAGAGGTTAGAGTTGAAGAGTAGGAGGAAGTGAGAAGGGAGGTTTAAAAAGACCCGCGCTGCTAGTGTTATGTATCAAAGTGGGGCCCATTTCTCATTTCATAGGAGATTTTTATTTTTATTGTTATTGTACTTGGAAATGGAATTTATGTTTTTTCATTAAAATTTGATTTGAAGATTCTTACCGTGATTTTGTTATGACTTGTGAGTAATAGCTGTCATTTGGAGTATTTTTTTGACTAATTATGGATTTGTTGTATGGTTTTTGTGTAAAAGTAGATGGAAAGATGAATGGGATTTTTAAATGTGCAATAAGAAATGATACTGTATCTGTTTCAAAAAAAAAAAAAAAAAAAAAATCATTTATTGCTTTAACTCAATAAACCAATTGTGTTTATCAAGGTGATGGGGGGGGGGGGGGTGTTCGCCAATTTGTATCCCAATAGATAGGAATGGAGATAGTTGTTGGTTTATATTTAGGCTATTCTATTGGTTAAACTTTTTATACATATTCAATTATTTCATTTTGACGATGGCTCGGTCTTGTTAGATCGATCGTTCACTTAGTTTTATAGTTATCACAATGTTTCTTGTTATCGAGTCCATTATTTACAAGTACATGAAAGTGGTAGTTATACTACATTTTGACGATGGCTCGGTCTTGTTAGATCGATCGTTCACTTAGTTTTATAGTTATCACAATGTTTCTTGTTATCGAGTCCATTATTTACAAGTACATGAAAGTGGTAGTTATACTACATTTTGACGATGGCTCGGTCTTGTTAGATCGATAGTTCACTTAGTTTTATAGTTATCACAATGTTTCTTGTTATCGAGTCCATTATTTACAAGTACATGAAAGTGGTAGTTATACTACATTTTGACGATGGCTCAGTCTTGTTAGATCGATCGTTCACTTAGTTTTACAGTTATCAGTTTATCACAATGTTTCTTGTTATCAAGTCCATTATTTACAAGTACATAAAAGTGATAGTCCTATACCTTGTTAAATGTTAGGGTACTAAGGGTGTCTTTGGTAAAATATAGTTATGTAGGTAGCTGTTAGTTGTGTATATAGTTGTTAGCTATCAACAAGCCGTTAGCTGTGAAAATAGATAATTTTGGTATGAGAAAATTTGCAAATTGCAGCTATTTAAAGTTCGTATTTTGCAAATTGCAGCCCAAAAGTCCGTATAAATTGTAAATTGCAGCCCGATTCAATTTTTTCATCTGTTTACATGTTGAAAAATCTTCGGTTAAGGTTTTAGGGGTCTTTTAAGTTCTTAGGGACCCGAATTGAGCTTGGAATTAGCAAAAAAATAACATAAGTGTCTCATATTACAGTTTTCCACAAATCGATACATTTTTGTAACGCAAAACGAGATACTTGCGTTATTTTTTTGCTAATTCCAAGCTCAATTCGGTCCCTTAAGAATTAAAATGGCCCATAAAACCTTAATCGAAGATTTTTCAACTTGTAAACCGATGAAAAAGTTGAATCGAGCTGTAATAATTTACAATTTATAAGAACTTTTGGGCTGCAATTTGTAAAAAAAATAAATTTAAATGGCTGCAATTTGCAAAAAATAAACTTTTTTTTTTTTTTTGAAAAGTTGCAAAAAACAAACTTTAAATGGCTGCAATTTGCAAATTTTCCTTTAGTTATGAATGTTCAATAAAGTAGTGGATGACTAGCTGTTACATATAAGAATCAATATTTTATTTTTATTTTTAAAACTATATATTAAATTTTCAACAGCTACCTCAAAATCTACCTTTAACTTCAAAAGCTAATAATTCTAACTTTTCATAAAAGCTACCTCCACCACTTAAAACTACTTAACCACTACTTTATCAAACACTCACATTTTTTGTTAAGTAGTGGTTTGACGACTTGACTTGGTCAACCCACTAAAAGTTACCTAAAATTTACTCAAAAGTTAGCGCCAAACACGCCCAAAAAATCTCATAATAAACCTTTAAAAACTCTGATAGATGATCAATGTTAAAAATCTACAATGTTATCTATTTTATTGGAAAATTGTAACCAAACCGCAAACTTCATACCTTCATTTTGCTCTCCAGTGGAATGTCATGGAAAGTATCTCTTCAATCACCCTACTTATATTAAAATCCGTACAAATTAATTATTTCTAGGGTCTTTTTAAAAAGTAATTAGACTACCCTTTAATTTTGTTGGCCATTTGTATGCATTATCCCTTTTGTATAATTTTTTCTTACTACTTTTTCTACTCCTATAAAATCAGACCTCGCATGTCGCATCAGTTCGGTTTAGTTCGGTTCAACTCTAATAAATTCAGTTCTATTCAGCTCACTGAACAGGACTGAACAGGCCCTAATTCCCCAAAATTCAAGTTAAAAGCATTTGTAACAATTGTTTGGGGTAAAAATACCCTAAACACGTGGCCCAATGGCCTAGTGACACGTGGCATCCAGCCGTTGGTCAGCAGGGCTCCAATCCTCTGCTGACACGTGTCCTCTAAACCCTAAAAGGGAAACCATCCCTTCCCCACTATAAATAGTGGAAGGACCCTCATTAATGGGAGGCTGGAACATTTGTTGTTCACATTGAATACTCCTCAAAAAGAAAAACACTTACCCCGAGCAATATTAATTGCAGAATTCTCCCATTACGCGAGAAGTAACTTCTACATTACGTGCATTCTACCTCCCGTATCTTTACTAACTTGATCGTCGGAGGCGGAGCTCCTACCCCCAGGAGTCTTCGTGATTTTGCAGGCACAAGCGTCGAAGGGCATTCTTGGAATTGTAACTCTCCCGCAGGACACATCAAAAAACCCCGAAACAACAATAAAGATGGGCAGAGTGACGAATTATGAAAATTGCAAGATCAAAACTAATTTCTTTTAGAGCCTATACTAATTTGTACTACATCATTTGATTTTTCTTTAGTCAATTAAAATTATATACTACGAATTTGTTTAGGAGGGTAATCGTTTTGAATTATTCTACTTAATTTCACGTCTACCTCATGATTGTGAATGTAATGCTACAACTCTAGCATCTACCAAACGTTTAAATGTGTTGAAATCAGCAGCCTATACTACACTATATGGTGCAGAAATGAAAATGGTCATTTTCATATTCATGAAATTGGTAGTAAATACTTCTTGAGTGGAATTTTCCATATTCATGCATTTTGTTAAAAGAGAAGAGAATTATAGTAGTTGGAGAAATGAAAATCATATGCATAACCAACCTAAAAGTTGTTGACGGTAAAATAAAATTCTCAACGTTTATAAATGTGTGACCACACTTTTTATTTCTTTTTTTTTTTTTTTTTTTTTTTATGGAATTATCATTGGTTATGAAGAAGATTATTAGCACTCGTGCAGTGTATCTTTCCTTTTTTTTTTTTTTTTTTATAAAAAAAATATAAATAAATAAAAGGGTCGCTTTAGCTAATTTTAATAATTTCATGAAATTTTCTATGTAAAAATTCTATCTCAATCGAAGAATTGTCAGAAGATTCATTATTCCATGTATATGCATGCATTGTTATTCATCTTAGCAACTTCTCTTTTCTTTCATCCTTTTCACTAGTTTTTGTGATGTTTGGATAGACAAACAAATAGTGATGACGTGATTTCTTATTAGACACCTTTTGTGTTTTCAAAATATATCAACTTTTAAAATTTTCGATAAATGATAATTAGAGATATTTATAATTAAACTTATGCGGCATTTACAAATATATGTGATAGAAAAAAAAAATATAAAATATTTTAACTAATCTAAAAGAGGAAGTGCATACAATGTAAGGGGTACCATTATTTGAAGTTGATGGTGTCCTAATGTAAAAATATCCTGAATAAAGGAATGATGCCATTTAGGGTCTGTTTATATTTATTGAAGTGAGCTGAACTGAACTAAATTTATTGGAGCTGAAATGAACTAAATATTTATGAGAAAAGGAAATTAGAAGCTGAACTGAACTTATTGAAGCTGAACTGAACTGAAATTAAGGGTCTGCTCAAGTTTATTGAACTAAACTGATTGGAGCTGAACTGAATTGAACAAAGCTAAAATGAATATTTTATGAGAGAAGGAAATTAGGAGCTGAACTGAACTGATTGGAGCTGAACTGAACTGAACTGAAACTGAAATTAAGCTGAAGGAATAGTCCATAAACTGAAGTGAACGGTCCCTTAAAGTTTGAAAATGTTATGATACAACACATACAAGAATCAACATAAGGTCATGTGCATACGAACATAAAGCATTACTAAAATGGGGGCTAGGCACCCTAAGCACTTTCATATACTAATAGAGTTTGCTTGTTTGTTTAAGTATACAGCTATTACTGGTCACAGTCATCATAATATTGCTTGTATGAGTGAATAATTCCGAATATGATTATAACAATTATACCATTTAATTGACGATCACATTTTTTGGGACATTCAGTTAGCTAGCTGGTAAAAATGGTTGCTCACTTGCTCTTATCTGATTTCCCAACATGATTGCTATAGTTTATGCGAATAATTTGTGTTAAAGAACACGAACTTAAATAAAACACCATGTTTACCATTTATAACAAGCGTATATAATACGCCTATTTATTGTATTATTGCTTGCTTCTTTACGTTATAGACTAGTTGATTTCATTAATCGGTATCACTAATTAATTTAATACATACAATATACTACATACATATGAACTGTTTGTTCATCTTCTAAAAAAATATTGAATGTTTGTTCATAATGCTCTCATACTCGAATAACAAATTTTTGTTTTCACAAAATAAACAATAGCGCTATATCCTTACGATATTATTGATATCGTAATAGAAATACTGTGGAGTACTAGGGGTATGTTCTCTTCAGCTTAAGCTCAGCTTAATTCAGTTCAATTCAATTCAGCTCCAATCAGTTCATTTCCTAATTTCCTTCTCTCATAAACAATTCATTTCAACTCTGTTTAGTTCTGCTCTAATCAGTTCAGTCTAGTCCAGTCCAGTTCAGCTCAGTAAATCAGAACAGGCCCTAACTCCTTGTATGCTAAAAATATTTAATATTAGATAATCTATCAATATTCCTTAAAAAAAAACAAAAAAAACCTATCAATATGCATTAATTTCCACTTGTTTATTTTTTTTTTCATATATTTTAGTTTTACTTTTCCTCTCTTTTTTTTTTTTTTTTTTTTGGAGAAAGAGTTTTACTTTTCTTTTGGTTGCGGTGATGGTGAATCATAAATGTTTAAGTCTGAATTTATTGTAAGAAAACATGTAACGTACCAGTTTAATTCAATGCTGGTGAGCAATAAAATTGGAATTCGACTAACGTATGGA